TCTTCTCCCACGGAGCAGCTGGTGGCCTAGTACCAGGTACCTTTGGGATTGCAGCCCAGCTTCTTAGCTTCATGCAATGTTTTAATAATGTTTTCTTTCTCATGCACTAACTGGTGACATTCAGGTGTTTGCTGGCATTTTTCGTAAAGTCCTGTGTGGATACTTTTAGAGCATTCTCTGGCCCTTTGAATAAGGCACTGATGGTGGCAATCACCTCAGTTTGTGCAGGCACAGTTAGGTGTCTGCCCTTTCTGTTCCTACAAGTCCCTGATGTACCTAGCATGCTTCCATTCAGCCTATTTTCATTACAAGTGTCAACAACCCAGTTGTTATTATTGTTAGATTTGAGTCGAGTATGAACCATAGCGACCTTATGAAAAACAGATCTGAATCCTGCTCTATCCTGCACCATCTTCACACTTCCTAAAACACGAGAGCCCCTTGGGGCAGTCACCATGCCAATGCATCTGGTTGAAGGACATCCTCTCCTTCACCAACCCTCTTCTTTTCCAAGCATCAAGTCCCTTTCCAAGGAGCAGGCCCTCCTAGCAGCATGCCAAAAGTATTTGAGATGAAGCTTTATCATCTTTGCCTCTGGTTGCACCCTCTCCAAGACATATTTGTTTGTTCTTTTGGCCATCCATGGAATGTTCAGTACTCTTCTCCAACACCACAGCTCACAGGCATCAGTTCTTCTGTCATCCTTATTCACTGGCAGAAACCCAGTAGCATATGTAAAATGAAGAAATGATTGGAAGAATTCCAAATAAAAGGTTTCATGAGCAAACCATGGCAAAGTCAGATGTCAACTCAGATGCGCCCAGAGCCATTTCTCTCTTGTCTTGCTTACAAGGTTCTCTCAGCTTAAAAGGTTCTCTCATCTTAACAAGGACTGGCTTCCACCACCAGATGAGCCAGGCTCTCCCTGGCTCCATGCTCAGGTTTGCCTGGGGAAAGACTAAAGATAAAATTACACTGGTTTAGCTTATGTCAGTGCTTGCTCCTAAACCAGCCCACTGTGGTCAGAAAGGTGGGATATTAAAGTGGTCAGCGTGGTTCCTTTTCCAGGTTTTAGACAATCTGGATATCACAGCTATTCATGGAACTATGTAGCTAGAGTGAGAGGAAGCAAAGAAAAAAAGCCAAGCTGTGGAGACAGCGCTGACACATGATCATCCACTTGTGCCGGAGTGGAAGTGTTGCTCTGCAAGGATTTCACTGACTGGCTTTCCAAAAGTAGGTCTCCAGGCTTGTCTTCTGCTGTGCCTATGGGTCCACTGAGACTGCCAGTCTTTTGATTAATAGCCAAGTGCATTAACCTTTTGTGCCACCTGAAGACTCCAGTTAGAGTGTATTGTCACGTTCGGTGCCTTCAAAACAGCTCTGACTCATAACAGCTCCATGTACAATAGAATAATACCCCACCTGATTCTGCATCATCTCTGTCGACCCTGTGCTTAAGCGCATTGTTCAGTTACCATGTCAGACTGTCTCCTTAAAGATCTCCCTCTTTTCACTGACCTTTCTTCCCAAGCATAACATCCTTCAAGGATAATAGACCCAAACTGCATGAGATGAAGTCTCACCATACTTTCTTCTTCATTAGGGCTATGTTTCTTCCAGGATACATTTGTTTGTACTTTTGAGAGTCCCTGGCCTATTTAGTACTCTTTGCCAACCTCACAGTGCAGAGGCAACAATTCTTCTTTGGTTTTTTTATAGATGGTTCACAAGTCACATGTATCTGCTGACTTTTTTTATATAAAGTTTTTCTTTTATGCTCATTTACTTACAAAGTTCATATATATTGTTTTCATACCAGATATTTCCTATTTCCTTTATCCACCCCTCTCTCCATCCGTCAAATTGTCAACACTATGATTACAACCCTCTCTCCATCCTCACCCCTTTGCTCCCCTCTTGGATCCTCATACGTGCTCTACAATAATGGTCTTACACAGTATTTGTCCTTGTGGGACTGAGTTACTTCACTCAGCATAATGCTCTCCAATCCCTCTCAAGAAAAGTCATGATTTACAAAATCATTTTTCCTGTGTGCTGCATAGTATTCCATCATGTGAATTCACCATAATTTCTCAATCCATTAGATTGTGGCTGGACATTTGGGCTATTGTCATGTTCTTCTGATGGTGAGTAACGCTGCTATGAACATTGGTGTACAAGTCTCCCTTTTCCCCTCAGTTCTCATTTTCTCAGGGTATATTCCAAGCAGTGGCATAGCTGGTTCATACATAATTTCTATGTTTGGCTTTTGAGGAAATGCCAAACTGCCTTCCAGACTGATTGTACCATTTTACAATCCCACCAACAGTGTATAAGAATTCCTATCTTGCCACCTTCTCTCCAACATTTTTTACTTTGCTATCTTGTTAAAATTTGCCACTGCTGCTGGTATGAGATGGTATCTCATTGTGGTTTTGATTTTTACCAGTGACTTTGAGCATTTCTTCATGTGTCTTTTGGCCATCCAGATATCTTCCTCTGTGAAAAGTCCTTCCATGTCTTTTGCCTGTTTTTTAATTGTGTTATCAGTCTTTTTCTTCTGGAGGCCCTGTAGGATTCTGTGATGTTTTGTTAGAGACCCTTGTCAGAAATGGTATGGCCATTTGCAGTCTTTTTGTCATTAAGAGTCTCTAGTGACCCTGTGAACAACAGATCAGAACATTGCCCTGTCCTGTGCCATCCTCACCATCTCTGCTATGCTGAAGCCCCTTGGTGAAGTGCTGTGCCAGTCCAGCTTGTTGGTGAAGTTCTGTGTCAGTACATCTTGAAGATCTTCCTTTCTTTCACTCATGCTCTACTTTCCCAAGCATGATGCCCTTTTCCAAGAACTGACTCCTTCTGACAACATGCCCAAAGTATGTGAGATGAAGTTTCACCATCTTTGCCTCTAAGAAGCATGCTGGCAAATGTCAGTTGAAAGGGTAAGGTGCTCCTGACCCAGTTGCTTTGTATACATATGAATATTGGACAGTGACTAAGGAAGACAGAAGAATTTGATGCCCTTATATTTTGCTGTTGGCAGAGAATATCGACTGCACCATAGACTGCCAGAAGTGCAAGCAAATCTGTCCTGGAGGAAGTGCAGCTTGCATTTGAAGCAATTTAAAATCCTGACTTAGACCAAGCATACCTTAGTCTCTAAAGTTACACCCTTGCTCGTTAGAACTTTAAAGTGATCCTTGGCAGCAGATTTTCTCATTGAAATCCGATGTTTGGTTACTACCATTTCTTGAATGTTAGTTTCAAATTTAAGTAGCATGAAATCCTTGACAACCTCAGTATTTTCTCCATTTATCAATGTGCTGTTTATTGGTCTAGTTGTGAGGATTTTGTTTTTCCCTTAGTGTTGAGGGGTAATCCATACTGAATCTATCATTTCCCAGAACACAGACAGAGGAGAGCTCTGCAGCAGAGTCTTAATTGTCCTTTATACTGTTATTATGTGATTATTGAGTTATTGTTTTTCTAATATCTCACAGTGTGACTTCTTAAGAAGAAAATACATTCCGTTTAGCTCTCTATCTCCAGGCCAAGGAAAGCATCTGTTGCAAATGTTGGATTAAGAAATCATGAACTAACACATGCAGGGACAACGTTACAGCACACACACAGGGGTTGTTTAAGGTTTCTCTAAGTCTTGCCGTGTATCTTCCAGACATATGCTGACAGTTCTCATTCTGGCCTGCTCATTCACAGGTAATACAGTGCATTTCCGTATTCCCTCTGACAAGTAAAAGCAAGTCTTCTGATGATTTTTTCCACTTAAAGAAATAAATTTTCCTTGAAAGAAAAATTACTTAGGTGCACATGAAAATAAGTATACTTTTCAGAGTTTCTCTGTGTTGTTACTGTTTCTGCCATTGCCTTATCTGTGGCCAGGAAATAAAAGTTCCTGATGTTGGTTAAACAAATGGAAATACCTCCTTTTAGTGACTTCTCTACCCTGCTCAGAGTGACACATGTAATAGATGTCTCTCTGGTTGTCTTTAAACTTAGTGCCCAGTTGTTGTTGTTGTTATATGTTGTCAAGTTGGAAACAACTCATAGGTGACCCTTAAGCAGGCTTTCAGAGGCTCTAAACTGCCCAAGAGGTGATTGCCTATCTATCTCCTGTGGAGCATCTGGTGGATTTGAACTGCCTGCCTTTGGATTAGCAATGCAGTTTATCACCCACTAGGCCACCAGTCCTTAGTAGTGTCAGGTAAATTACTCTCTAAGAGGGCTGTATGCATTTCAGGGATCCCTGAATTTTGCAATCATTAACATATTTGGTCTCTAATGTAAAGGTTCCAAGTTCAAGTCTGTCTAGAGAAGACGCTTTTTAAAAAAAGAAGTCTTGACAGTCAACTCCTGAAACAGTCATAGATCTCTATGAAGCTCATTTCTGTGCTGACAGATGTGGGATTGAATTAAAATTGACTTGACAGCAACTGGAACTGAGAAAGCATGTCTCTGTGTCCTTAAAGGGAAAAAAATTGTTTATGTGTATGTATGTATTCAGTGGACGTTTACTTACAGTGTAGTTTCTCAGTTGGCAGCTGTCCCCTGGCACTGGTTACATTCTTCACAGCTTGTGAACGTTCACATTTCCATTCTGATTGCTCTGTTTCTGTTAATCTAGTTCCCCAGCCCCCTTACATCCTTATCATCTTTGTTTTAGCTTAATTGTTGCCTGTTAGTTCTCATATAGGTGCTTTGGTTTGGGGTTGTTTTTTGGTTTTTTTTAAAGTTTCCCAGTACTTACACATGATACTCAATTTTTTTGAGCCAGTTTGTTATTTAGATACAAGGTGACCTCAAAGATTAATTTTTGTTTAAGATTTGAAAGTATTTGAGGGCAGTAGTTTCAGGAAGTCCTCCATTCCCACCAACTCCGTAGATCTGGCTTTATCTTATTTTAGGGGTTAATCTGAGGTTCTGGTCCACATTTGCCTCCCTTTCTTCTCGGTCACCATGTCCTTTTCATCTGTTTTTAGGTTTTTGTCAAGCTGGGAAGGATTTGCGTTTAGTGTCACTGTGTATGGAACAAATCGACATCCCAGCGGGATTTCTGCTGGTGGGAGCCAAGTCGCCTAATCTTCCTGAACACATCCTAGTGTGTGCTGTAGACAAGCGATTTCTGCCAGATGATAATGGGAAAAATGCACTTTTAGGTGAGTCCTTCGTGTCTCGACACCTCACTATCTAGAATGGGACAGAATAGAAGTTTGTTTTAAATCATCACCAAAAAATTTTTTTTAATCACAGAATTAATTGGAAGTTCAATTCAAATGAGAAACATTTATTTAAATTCATTTTTATTTATTCTAAGAAGCTGTAGTGGCTTTAAGGCTATGTTTGCCAACTTAGAGGTCAATAGTTCAAACCCATCAGTTGTTCCACAGAAGATGTGGGAATCTGTGATAAAGATTTAGAACTGTGGAGGCCCATGGGCTCTGTTCTTTAGGGTCGCTGTGAATCAGCATCAGCTTAGTCGAATGTGTGTATTAATACTCAAAACACTTGTGTTAGTTAAAATGAGTTTTTTTACTAACTATTAAAGGACTAGAATGCCATTTTATTTTAAACAAAAATCAGTATTTTATAAGCAAAGTAGAATTTACCCTCTTAAACCTGGAGAAATGACGAAAGTTATACCCGTGGCCAGGTCGTTCGTTCATAGGGTCGCTATGAGTTACCTCTGACTCAACAGCACTTAACAACAACAACAACAGCATAGAAGGAGATCAGTTGGCCTAGTAGACAGAAAGTCATGATCCCAAGCCAGAGGTGGGTGACTCTAATCCGTAGCCCTCAGGCCTGCCTTTGCTTGTTTTGGTGAAACATTCTTCTAGATCATATAACCCTAGTATGTCCACTTGCTATACAGAGGTAACTCGTGGTTGCTGTGAAACTGAACACTGTGACACTGTTGTGTCAAGTGTAAGAATGGTTACCCACGGTGGACAGTGTTTGGTGGAGCTCCCCGAATAAAACAAGCTTGGAGCAGGAGTGGCATCCACTTCTGTAGGAGCTTGCCTCTGGAAAACCTATGAACCTGGAGAAAGGACAAAAGTTATGCCAGTGGCCAGGTCTTTGGTTCATAGGGTCACTATGAGTCGCCTCTGACTCAATGGCACTTAACAACAACAACAACAACAACAAAGTCCTTAATCTGAAACTGATATTAATCCAACTCTCACTTGGCCACTTTGTAACAATCTGCATTATGCAGATGACACAACCCATGAAGCACTTGCTGTGGGCTGATTGGCAGAATCATAATATATGGTGAAGAGATTGAGATTGTTCACAGTTTTGGTTTGCTTGGCTCCACAGACAACACTTTTGGCACCAGTAGCCAGGAAATTAAAAGAAATATTGCCATGGGAAAGTCTGTGGCTAGATACCTCTCTAAAGTACTAAAGTTCAATGATGTCAGTCTGGAGACTACGGTGCACCTGATACAGGCCATGGTCTATGCAATCACTTGTTGTGCATCAGAGAGCTGGACAATGACTAGGGATGAGGAAGGAAAATTGATGCCTTTGAGCTGTGGTGTTGGAGAAGAATATTGAATATACCATGGACTGCTAAGAAAACAAACAGGTTTGATATGGTGAAGCCGGCCTGCTCCTTGGAGGCAAGGATTCTGAAGCTTCGTCTGACATACTTTGAACATGTTGCAAGGAGGGACCAGTCCTTGGAGAGGAACGTCGTGCTTGGGAGGGTGAAGGGAGGAGAGAAAGACGCAGGAGAGAAAGACCCTCGATGAGATGGATTGATTCAGTGGCTGAGGTAATGGGAATAGGTGTGTCGGAGATAGTGAGATTGGCACAGAATAGAGCAGAGTTTAGGGCTGTTGTAAATAGGGTTGCTGTGAGGTGCAGGCAACTCAGTGGCACATAACAACAACAAGCTATTTGTGATTTTCCTGTGGCACCCATTTTTCCCATCTATACTTGATTAGTGTAATTTCAATTTTGTATTTAACATTAGTTTACCCGAAATAATTAGGAATGTATGTTTGATACAGAATATATACCTTTATTTCAAAATTAACTTGTTTCCCTCTGTGGCATTAACTGAGAGACTGAGCTGTTTCACAACAGCTTTCTCTATATTTTAAGAAATAAGAAAAAGTAAATTTCTTTTTTTTTAACTATCAAGGCTGTAAGAAACTTGTTCGATTATTTTTTTAAAAAACGATCAAGGCCGTAAGAGGGCATATGAAACTTGTTCGATTATTTTTCTCTCCTTATTTTCTAGAGCTGCTTTTGATTTCAGAATTTCTCCTGCTATAAATAGAGTCAGGTGTTTAAGCACAAATTCAATAAAAAGGAAAAAAAAAAGAGCAAAGAATTCAAATGCATATTTGTTTGTTAAATTTTCATTTTTCTTAAGGTTTTCCTAAAAAAAGACTGTTTTCCATCTCATGAAATTCATAGTTTAATAAGGAAGTCTAGTGATAAGCATATTTGTTTGTTCTTTTAACTATCCACGGGCTATTTGGTACTCTTCTCCAACACCATAACTCAAAGGCATTAATTTTTATTCTGTCATCCTTATTCATTGTCCAGTTCTCAGATGCATAGCAAGCGATTGGAAAGACTATGGCCTGACTCAAATGCACCTTAGTCCTTGAACTGACATCATTACTCCTCAGTAATTTGGAGAGGTCCCTAACTGCAGATCTCCCAGTGCAATGCATCTCCTTATTTCCTGACTTCTAGTACTAAGGATGTAAATTGTGGATCCAAGAAGGTGAAATTGTTGACAGTTTAATCTCTTCTCCATCATCATCATGTTGTCCAGGGAGATTCAGTCCATACCGAAGGATTCATTCCTTGGTCTTTTGCAACAAGTACTTCAAGTCCTCCTCACTTCAAGCAAGAGTGGTTGTGTCATCTACATAATGCAAGTTATTTATGAGTCTCATTCCTCTTCATGGAGACTAGCTTCTTGATTAATGTGGTCAGCATACAGATTAAATAGATAGGGAGAGAAAATGAAATCCTGATGCACTCCCTTATTAATTTTAAACCTTGCAGTGTTCCCTTGCCCTGTTTGCACAATAGCCTCCTGGTCCAGGTCCAGGTTTTACATGTCTTGAAGAGGGTGCAGCTGGGGTGCTTGTTGGAGGCAAGAATGATGAGGCTTCACCTCACATACTTTGGGTATGTTACTAGGAGGGGCTTTTCCTTGGAGAAGGACATGATGCTGCGAAGGGTGGAGGGTTGCTTGATGTAACTGCCACAATGGACTCTTGTGTGTCAGGAAGTGTGAGGATGGCACAGGATAGGACAAGGTTCAGATCTTTTGTTCAGAGGGTCACTGTGCATCGTACTCGACTCGACAACACCTAACAACAACAATAGTGATAAAATAGATTAAATTAGCAAAGAAAGTTTGGCTTTCTATTCATGGATATATTCCATAATATTTGTCTAGAACATACTATGTGACAAAACTGGGGCTAGGAATAAAAAAATAAGATACAGTTTTTACCCTTTCAAATCTAACAGCCTAGTAAGTTGTGGTAGAACATTTTGGAAGATTTCTCTAGCTTTTTAAAACCCCATAGTCTCACAGAAACCATGAGATTGTATATTTTCTGTGAGTGAGTTGTATGGTATGTGAATGATATCTGAATAAAATTCTTGACAAAAGTCTATCAAGTATGATATGATAGTGTACCCAAAAACCCCCAAAGACTCAACAAAAAAACCTGTTAAGAGTTAGTATGCAATTTATGTAGAGTGGCAGGATCGAAGATCAGTATTGAAAAATTAGTGGGATTCCTCTACAGTAACGAAGAGAACTCAGAGAAGGAAAACAAGAAAGCAATACCATTTATAATAACCAACCACAAATTTAAATACTTGAGAGTGAACCTAACTAGAGATACAAAAGACCCATACAAAGAAAACTACAGAGTATTTCTACAAGACACAATAAAAGACCTAAAGAAATGGGGAAATGTGCCCCGTTCATGGCTGGAAAGACCCAATATTGTAAAAATAAGAATTTTACCAAAAGCAATCTACATGTTCAATGCAATCCCAATACAGATAACAAGTTCATTTATTGATGAACTTTGAGAAATGTTGACAGTTTGTAGAGGGGCTTCAGGCCTTTTGTTCATTAAGTCACTATGAGTCGTGCTCAACTCAAAGGCAATCAACAACAACAAGAAGATTGAAAGGGACATTGTCAAGCTTTCTTTGGAGATGAAGAGACTCTACATAAGCAAAACACTTCTGAGAAACAAAAATAAAGTGGGAGGCATAGCATTCCCTGACCTCCAAACTTAGTACACAGTGGTAGTAACCAAAACAGCATGGTACTGGTACAATGACAGGCACATAGACCCATGAAACAGAATTGGGAACCCAGAAATAGAACCAGCTATCTATGGTCAACAAGGAAATAAAACCTATAAAATGGGAGAAAGACAACCTCTTCAACAAATGATGTTGGCAAAACTGTACTGCTACCTGCAGAAAGCTGAAACAGGATCCACATCTCACACCATACACAAACATCAACTCAAGGTGGAGCAGAGACCTGGGAGAAAAGCCCCAAACCATAATGTTCTTGAGAGACAAACTAGCACAAAGCTTAGAAGGCCTAGGCTGCAGTATAAAGAGAATGCCAAATAACAGCCAGAAATACACAATCTGGAGAGGATAAAATTGATGAATGGGACCTTCTAAAGATTAAACTAATGTGCACATCAAAAACTTTTTCCAATAGAGTGAAAAGAAAACCTACCAACTGGGAACAAACATTTGGCAATACCAGCTCAGACAAGAATCTCGTGATAAAATTTACAGAATAATTCTGGAGACCTCCACAAGAAAAAGACTGATAACTCAATTACAAAATGGGCAAAAGACATGGAAAGACTTTTCACAGAGGAAGATATTCAAATGACCAACAGACACATGAAGAAATGCTCAAAATCACTGCCATTAAAAGAGATACAAATCAAAATCACAATGAGATACTGTCCCACTCTAGTAGCAGTAGCAAGTAATAAATGTTGAAGATGATGTGGTGTAATAGGAACTCTTATACATTGTTGGTGAGATAGTAAAATGGTGCAACCGTTCTCTGGAAGGCTGTTTGGCGCTTTCTCAAAAAGATAAGCATAGAAATTCCATATGACCCA